TATTTTGTTCGGAAGCTACAGACGAATTGACGGTATTTGTATTGAAAATGGTTCATATAGGTCCACGTTTTGGTATAGCCCCCATGTAATGGTATGTACCTATTTTCCGTATTTTGGTGATTTTAGCGACATTATACACTGGAATTGTTTCAAATTTAGTGCCAGTCCACGTCTTCGTATCGCCCACATATAACGGTACCTCCCGATATCCAGTATTTTAGCGACATTATTCAACGGAATGGTTTCAAATTTGGTTTTCGAAGTTCGTAATGGATACTACAGCCTATGACAGAAAATTGTCAGGTCAACGTCTTCGTATAGCCCCCATATAACGGTAGCAACCGATATTCTCCCTCCTTGTTCTTAACTCTCTTCTCATAAAAATATGTGTCGATTGGTTTTAAATTATCCGGAAAAATAAATTTCAAGACCATTTGAACTCTTAAATGTACATCTCTTAAAACAATATGCTTCAGTTTTGACACTATCTTTACCCCTATGCAACATTTCGTGAAGATCGGATGATAATTGTGACCTGTATATAATGAAATTGTAAGCCAAATTGGAAAAAATCTCATGCGATAAAAAGTATGACAATAGCTGAAAAGGTAACAAAAATTATCCAATATTTTTATAGCATGTTTTTCCTCAAAACTATCGTTTTCTAGCAAAAGTCCCTTGCGAATTGGTGAGAATTGTTAAAATCAGTTCAGCGGTTCTTGACTTATGAGCGGAATAACTGAAATCAATTTCTTTTGGATATATATTGTACATAATTGGCTACATCTTGGCTAACATATTCGCGGTTTAATGTAAATTTTGCATATGTTTTTTTAATATTTTTTTTTGGCAGATGTAATAATCCTATCCGAAAATGCTATATATCTTAAGTTTCGTGAGGATTTGGCCGTAATTGACTCAGCTCAGTGAGATAGGAAGATCCATACATAGTTTCCTATGTCGAGGTAATACATATATTTTGGCAGAAGTAATACTGCTATCCGAAAATGCTATAAATTTTACGATCGCCCCCTAATGTCAATTCTGTTTTGGCATTTTTGTAGTAAAAATATGCGAAAGACGCGTTAATTAACAACGTTACGCTACACTGCTCCAGAACGCGGAATATTAGTGACTATTTATTTGAACAATAATTGGTCCGTGACTTTGACACAACGTAAATTTCGTCTCAGATTTCTCGGCCGTCTAACGCCTACTTGTCAAATACTGCGACGTTAAGCCGCTCGCCTCGAAGAGACTGACATAACAACATATGCTTCCGGGCGTGGCAAACCACGGAGTACGCGTTCTGTAGAGAATATTGCTGCTGCGGCCGAAATAGTCATGGAAGCGCCATCGACCAGAGGATGTGCCACGCAAATTCGTATCAGTCGACGGTCTTTACAGCGAATTTGGTACAGGGTTTAAATATGTTTTCGTACAAAGTCCCGAAGATGTTTCCGTGCAAGAAGCAGAAGATGATTTTTCATAAAAAATAATCATGAGTGATGAAGCCCGTTTCCATCTTAGCAGGAAAATAAATAAGCAAAATATACGCTTTTGCGGCACTGTTCGAGAGAAAACGAAATATAATTTGACTCAAATCCGCAAGACAAGATCGCTCTTGTCGGTAACAACTGAAGAAGAAATCTTATCCTTATTTTAGAAATAAAAAAATGGGTAAAAGTTGAAGTTGTAACCCAAGTTTGTCCTTTACATTAGACTGTCGTTCATTCATGTAACACCACCAAATATCTTGAAGGTTAACTCTCATCTTTTATAATGGATAACACTTTAACGGTAATTTTGCAAACTACGTCAACGATATTTTGGATTATATTTCAATTGTTTCAATAACCAAACTTGATGACGCGGTACATATCAACATCAACATACATTCGAGAATCAACATACATTCGAGTTGCACTCTGTTGATTAGTTTCTACAGAATCCAGTTATACTATTCAAAAACTATAACGTACAGTCAATAGCTGTATTCAGACTCTGGGGATGTCAAAGGATAGGATCGGTTTTTAAAAACTTTTGTTCGACGAAATTACCTAGAGGCTTTTTTTCGTGTACTCATTTAGCAATTGTAAACATGCACTTTCTTAACAAACAAATTCAAAACTTTGGAGTCAATTGGTAATATAAAGCCCTTCATATCAACAATCACACAGGTAGATATTTAAAAATATTTCAAACAAATGTTCCAAAAATTATAAACAATTTTTTAGGAAGATCTATTAATATAACACCACTTAATATAACACTACCTCAACAAAATAAATAGAAATATTCTCAAACATGCCAAGACATCTGCAAATCAAATCACTTCATCTGAGAATGCAACCAATTTTTGAAAAAGAATAAAGATGGCATAACTACAGAAGGTATAAAAAGATTCTGCCTTATTACAATTTTTTTCTTTTGGTGTCCTCATTCCTTCAAAACAATACACATTTTCGAATAAAAATAAAAATATTTAAAATGTGGTTGCACAAACGTGTAACAAATTTTACAATTTTGCGATAAAACTGTATTGTTCTACTATTTTAGATTCAATCTTGTGGAATAACCCCGTTCTCCATTCTTGTTTCGCGGGTTTTCCCCAATATGAGAATTTTGTTAAAAAAATTAAAAATAAACAAAGGCCACTGTTGCATGTTAAAAAGTCTATTTGTCACTATAAGACTCCACCACAGAGTTGCATTTTTATAGTTTCTTTAAGGTTTATATTTGGATCAATTTTAACTCCGAAAACCATATTTAGATGGATAGTTGGAGGACCCATACCAGGAAGCACCTATCAATGAAAACAAATATTACTTCAAAATACAACTTCAATAGAGAAAGTACTTACACGTTTTGAGGAGGTGGAAGAGACTCCTAGAAAAATTTAACGGTCAGAAGAAGACTTAACACTTCTTGTCCCACATCAAATAAAACAAGTCTCAGTGACATACTATTTCCTGGACCTATCCCACAACCGGATTTAGTATTGCAAATTTTAAAATGTATATTCTTATGTTGTATTAGCTGGTGGTCGCAGTGCAGAGGAATCAATCAAGGCTCGAAAGGAATTAACTGCCGCTTAAACTCGGCCGGATTTACACCCATTATATTCCACTCAAGATATTGAACTGAAATAATTATGTTTAAAATGCCAAAGATATTGGATGGATTCAATACAGACTAGATGGATTTTTTGTTCGGAATGAAAATTCTGTACATACCACACATATATTCTTATTTGCAGCAAAGACTCGTGTCGCTTCTATTTAAAGACAACGAATACCTCATTTTCCTAGCATCCTTAAAAATCTATTGGAGCACCTTTGTTGGAAAAATAGTCACGGAAATTGCTGATAACGATGCACAAGGAAACTTAAGACAAGTCGATTCGGAAATAATCCAGCTGATATTGCGAGCCGTGGATGTTCACCCGCAGAGCTAACGGCTCATGAACTCTGGTGTCAAGGACCGCAATGGCTCAGAATGCTAGTATCACAAGATAACCCAAATGACACAAATTTGGAAGCCAAAACACAAAGGGTATTATTAAAGCAAATGACAGTTTGTCACAATCGCCAGCCATAATATGGCGAACATCATCCAATAATACTACCACATTGCGCAAAACTTAGCAAATTGTTAGTCGAATTAATCATAAGATTACCTTACACCGTGGCAATTAATTAATGACCCGAGTACTAAGATGCAAATTTACAAACACAGGGGTAGATTTTGGAGGACACAAAACAAATAATATCAATTAAAATTAAAACAGAAACATCAAACAAACATAAACATCAATGTATGTTCACGTATCGGTGTAGCGGATGTGTAACGCACCATCTACTTTAAAATATGTTGGCGACTGTTGCACTGTCCAAATTTGCACGTACCTGCAGTTTTAAATGAAGTGTATTGTGTGGGCTTTTATCACACGCTGGAGAGATGTTGCGCTCATCTTCATTCACGCCCAATACGAATGGAGACTGAACTAGCTTCAACGTAATTAGGCCAGAACTATTCTAGTGTGTCTAGGTCGAAGGAGGCATTTTAATTTTGCAGTAGTTGACTACATCGACGAGTGCGTCATCATGATCTAGAGGCTTTCTCTTATACCGTTAGGCCTCCCGCTCTCCAGAACTGCTAATTCCTTCCTACCATTACTGGGTAGGTGATTTTTATCCCCTATATAATGGTTTGTGTGACCAACACAAGCGTCATCTTCGAGGTAGCCCCATAATCATACAATCATCTGCCACAATCTCAATACCGTCTTTTTTCCGGAGGTATCACGCACCTTCGAAAATTCCCTGTTTCACTCTACGGATTTCAACATCATGTCCCTGAATTCTTTTATTCGACAGGTGTCCATATATGGTCTGTTCAAGAACTGCAAGAATGTAAAAGTTTTTACTACGATAATTTATTTTCCCTTTATGGTAACGAAAAAAATTGCAAAACTAGTAGATTTTTGTAGGTACTGGAACAAAGGAATAAATAGTAGGTTATCTAACGTTTTAAACTCGACTGAGCAGTAGTTTCAGCGTGGTGTGATTGAAAAGATTGAAAACTTTGATAAGTCCCTTCTACAGTTCTATGGCAAGGCCAGTTCTAAGTGCGCAAATGTCGAATCTGCTTAATTCACAAACAACAAAGTCAAATAATGGCTTCGTTAATTGCCGAATATACTTTTCTTTCTCGATCCTTTAAAAACTCAGGAGTAGATTTTACAGGACTCAAATCAAATATTTATAAGAAAAAGAAATATCAAACAGTGAATTGATAACATAGATATTAATCATGCAATAATAACATTGTGCATAGAGAAAGATAACACCTACTACAAAAAGTTTTAAATATTATAAAAGGTTAAACAATTAAGCTTAAACTTATACCTTAATTAAAACCCTACAACCTAATAAACTAAAGATATTAATGCACATAAAATTGCCAAGAACATTTTTTATTGTATTTTCAAATCCTACCTTATAAATCCAATAAAAAGTATAGTTAATAACTTATTGATATAGATCCCATCTGACCTATGCATCGACCTTCATCATCGAATGATGCTAAGGTTAACCGAGACAGCTTGTTGCATAGAACGCCTCTACCGGTTCCTTGTATAGGATTGGGATCTGTTGCGAAACGGAAGTAAATTAAAGATATGTCAAAAAAGAAAAAAAGAATGGTAAATATTATAGACTATGTTAATATAATGCTTATTCTGTCCGACTTTGAGCAAACAAATTTATTAATTTATTTTTATTTATTATTATTTATTAAAATTTACTCAAATGTGTATTATATCTGCATCGCTTTTGGTATTGAAAATAGGTCATGTATGTGAACGTTTTGTTATAGCCCCCATATAACGGTACCTCCTTTTTTCGGTGTTTTGGTGATTTAAGCGACATTAATCACCGGAAATGTTTCAAATTTGATGTTTACAGTTCGTTAGGAACACTACAGCCTAAGGCAGAAAATTGTTTGTGCATGTCCACGTCTTCGTATAGCCCCAACATAACGGTACCTCCTTATATTCGGTATTCTGCTGATGATGTACATTATTCACCGAATTTGTTATTCAAGTTTCGCATTTGAGTATTGCAATGGTTTATGACAAAAGCTGCCCAAGCTGGCCCACGTCGTCCTATAGACCGTAACATAACGGCTACTTTCGGTATTTTAAAATTTCAATCGTTCCAAATTGTGGATGGTATTTAAAGATCGGCCCTGCCGAACTTACAGGTTTTTCACTTATTTTGTTTAATTTCGCGATTAATAGTTCAAAGGTATATTTAGCAACACTGAATCACTGAATGCGAAAGAACGAACGAATGTAAGAGGAATTCATTCTGATACGAAAGTGTGTGGCTAGCTTTCCTTCGCTCAAATTTAATTCGATATTGTGGTACAGGCTGTTAATCACTTCTCACCAGTAAATAAGTTCAATAAACACCCTACGTACGATGATTTCATACTAATAGGTGTGATGGCAAAAAAACATAGCTGGTCTCAAGTGGTCGTTATTTACCAAACAATAGACGGCGTTACGATGGCAACAAATGCCTAGTGCAAGATTATATCATTGCCCTTCATGAGTTGTTGTATTCCATTGTTGTAGGTTTGTTACGCAAGCGTTCGTAGGCGGCATATTTCATAATCTTTGAACATCAGACTTTTCCTATTTCTTCCAGTCGCAGTTAACGCAATATATACTACTCTTTGGTCGACTTCGGATGTGAAATTCTTGCACAAGAAGTTGATATCCGTAGAGTAAAGAGTAGTAATAAATCGGGAAAAATTGTATATTTCGAGGTGTTACAAACGGAATGATAAACCTAATACATCTTCCATACTATGGTAGAGGGTATAAAAAGAACCAAGATAACAGATTTAAACGCGAAAAAGCAGTAAATAATGCAGTATCTAACTAACAGCTCAGTTATAAACATAAACAACATAATTTTTCCCATTGGACTTCAAGGGTTTGTCTGCTGCTTCCAAATATTAGCACCTATATGAGACCACTCTAAGAAGCTCTTTATAAGAAGAATGATCAATTATTAATTTCAAAAGAATGCTATCAGAACATTCCTTATCTGTCTTTTTACAGTGACTAAAACTTTGGATTTTCTATCTTCCAATGATTTTTGTTCCTCAGTCAACTCAAAATGTTGGTTGACTTTCCATTTAGACACATCGTTTAATGGAAATTTGGTTCCTTCGAATCATATTGAAGATTTAAGTTCTTCAACACTGCATCCTCTCGACACTATGTCGGCTGCATTTTGTTTGGTGGGCACATGGCGCCAAATACCGCTCTCTGACCACTCTTGAATTACTGTGACTCTATTCGAGACGAAAATGGCCAGTGTTGAAGGATGGTTTTTTTATCCAATACAGAATAATTTCGGAATCGGGCATGAAGTAAACATTTTCAACTGCAATGGTCATCAAAGCTCCAATCTCGGAAGCGACATTGTTTTGAGCGGTGCTACTTTGGATTTGGCTGCTAAAAGCCGACAAGAAACTCCACTGGGGTCAAAAGCACGAACATTAAAGCAGCAGCCATAGGCTCGCATCGAAATGTCTGAGAATCCATGATTTTGGATCCTCAAGGAAGTGGTCGTGTTTACGAATCTTCGGATTTGAATCGTATCTAACTTTGATAGATTAAATTTGAAATCTTCCCATGTGGAATTCAAATGCATAGGAATCGACTCATATCACTCTAATTTATTTATCCAAAGTTCTTGCAAAAGCATTTTGGCTTTGGTAATAATCGGGCACAAAAGGCCGAGGGAATCAAATAAACGTGATGATATTGACAAAATGTGTCTTTTAGTATCCTTCATATTTTGAAAACCTCCCTCAATAAAAAATTTGAAAATATCATTTCTTGGAGCCCATTGAGTTCCTAATACTCTTGCAGTTTCAGAATCTGAGTGTAGTAATTTTTCACTGCAACTTATTTCATTGAACTCTGGATGATTTGAAAACCATTTAGTAAATTAAAATCCTGCTGAACAGAGAATGGTAGTTACTTGATCTCGACAAATGAGAAGGCTATCCAAATCAGCAGCACCAGTTAGAAGATCATCCACATAAAAATCGTTGCGTATAACTTCAGCCTCAATTGGCGGAGTCTCTTTGGATAAATCACTTAAATGGCTAAGACAGTATATCGGCAAAAAAGGCACAGTAGATGTGCCATAAGTAACCGTTTTCAATGTGAAGATTAAATGAAAATCTTTATCTTTCTCGTCAAGTAAAACATGATGGTACATTTTGTCAATATCTGCAGTAGTAACATATTTATGTAGACGGAAACGAATTAGAGTGGAGTACAACTCTTATTGAATGGTTGGACCAACCAACAAGAGATCGTTGAGCGAAACATGGGACCAAGTCTTGCTCGAAGCATCAAAAACGACGCGAAGTTTTTTAGTTGTACTTTGCGGTCGGAAAACACATTGATGAGGAATGAAGTCCTAAGTCAAGATACTCTTCCATGAAGGAATTATACTTTTCCTTAGATGTGTCGTCACGAGAAAGTCTCCTTTCAAATGACGAACCCAAACGTTTCACATCTTTCTTGAAAGGTAAAGACACTTTAAAGTGTCCTGACGGTAAACGTCGCACATACTTTTGGAAATGTTGCTCACACTTAGTTTGCTCATCGGACCAAATCTTTATCGAATTATTTGGAATCTCTTCCAACTCTAACAATTGCATCAAGCGTTTCACTATTCCCTATTGAACTTTTTAAATGGCATACACTTGAAGCTAAGTTTGTCTATGCCTGTCGATGTCGGATCTGCGTGAACCAAGTTCTCGAAAAGACTTTCCGCTGAATTTATGGATTTTCATGTTTGGCAGTCTAGATTGATGCGATTGAGCGCAGAAAGAAGTCTCAGGCATACTACTCTTCCTATTTTTAGATAAAATTCCTAAGAATAGGGACTTTGCCGACACACATGAGTCTTCCAGTTCACCACGATCGTCGTTATCGGGATCTAGAATATCTAGTTCGGAATGTAAATGTATTGCCTCATCAGTATATTTGTTTAAAATGTCTAATCGACATTCTAATTCAAATGAATTGTAGGAAATTTTCTTTTCTCAGAAAGAAGTCTTAATTCTTTCAATATTTTTTGCCTTTTTTTCATTAGATTGGATATTTCCGTATCAGGATTACTTTGGCGTTTCTTACCACCAGCCATTTTAATATAAATCAAGAAGTTTAAATGAGATTTAAGCAACAAGAAACTTTAAACACCTTAGTATTTATTAAAGGTAGGTAATATGATAAGTTTATTATTAAATAAACTCTCGCTTTTCAATGAAAATATAGTGTCAGCTCTAAAATAGTATATTTAGACTATCTCAATTAGTTAATTTTAGTCCAGCATTTGATCACACACAAGAATTTCAATGTCCTGTAGCTCTAGGATAAAATCCCTGGACCAGGCCCGCCAGAACATCTGCTTGGGAGCGCAGAGCATCTGCCAACGCTTGGATAACCTCACCTTGTTGACTAGTAGATGCCCTGGTGTCAGAGCTTCATCGTCGTTGGGGCCTGGAGACAGCGGTGCTATGGGGCGACTGTTCAGCACCGCCTCTACTTCTGCCAGCATCGTCATCATCGCTTCTTGCGTCAGCAACACTTTGCCGACAACTCACAAAAGCAGGAACTTTGCCTGTTTTGCGGCTGCTTCCCACAGGCCAGCAAAATGAGGAGCCCTCGGAGGAATGAAGCTGTACGGCAATATACATTTTCGTTGGTGGTCTCCCGCGTATCTTCAACGTGATATCAACGGGACCACAAAAGTCTACGCCTACTATGAAGAATGGACGTAAGGCTCTCACACTAGGCTCCCTCTGCTGCTTCCAAATATTAGCACCTATATGAGACCACTCTAAGAAGCTCTTTATAAGAAGAATGATCAATTATTAATTTCAAAAGAATGCTATCAGAACATTCCTTATCTGTCTTTTTACAGTGACTAAAACTTTGGATTTTCTATCTTCCAATGATTTTTGTTCCTCAGTCAACTCAAAATGTTGGTTGACTTTCCATTTAGACACATCGTTTAATGGAAATTTGGTTCCTTCGAATCATATTGAAGATTTAAGTTCTTCAACACTGCATCCTCTTGACACTATGTCGGCTGCATTTTGTTTGGTGGGCACATGGCGCCAAATACCGCTCTCTGACCACTCTTGAATTACTGCGACTCTATTCGAGACGAAAATGGCCAGTGTTGAAGGATGGTTTTTTTATCCAATACAGAATAATTTCGGAATCGGGCATGAAGTAAACATTTTCAACTGCAATGGTCATCAAAGCTCCAATCTCGGAAGCGACATTGTTTTGAGCGGTGCTACTTTGGATTTGGCTGCTAAAAGCCGACAAGAAACTCCACTGGGGTCAAAACACGAACATTAAAGCAGCAGCCATAGGCTCGCATCGAAATGTCTGAGAATCCATGATTTTGGATCCTCAAGGAAGTGGTCGTGTTTACGAATCTTCGGATTTGAATCGTATCTAACTTTGATAGATTAAATTTGAAATCTTCCCATGTGGAATTCAAATGCATAGGAATCGACTCATATCACTCTAATTTATTTATCCAAAGTTCTTGCAAAAGCATTTTGGCTTTGGTAATAATCGGGCACAAAAGGCCGAGGGAATCAAATAAACGTGATGATATTGACAAAATGTGTCTTTTAGTATCCTTCATATTTTGAAAACCTCCCTCAATAAAAAATTTGAAAATATCATTTCTTGGAGCCCAATGAGTTCCTAATGCTCTTGCAGTTTCAGAATCTGAGTGTAGTAATTTTTCACTGCAACTTATTTCATTGAACTCTGGATGATTTGAAAACCATTTAGTAAATTAAAATCCTGCTGAACAGAGAATGGTAGTTACTTGATCTCGACAAATGAGAAGCGTTGAGCGAAACATGGGACCAAGTCTTGCTCGAAGCATCAAAAACGACGCGAAGTTTTTTAGTTGTACTTTGCGGTCGGAAAACACATTGATGAGGAATGAAGTCCTAAGTCAAGATACTCTTCCATGAAGGAATTATACTTTTCCTTAGATGTGTCGTCACGAGAAAGTCTCCTTTCAAATGACGAACCCAAACGTTTCACATCTTTCTTGAAAGGTAAAGACACTTTAAAGTGTCCTGACGGTAAACGTCGCACATACTTTTGGAAATGTTGCTCACACTTAGTTTGCTCATCGGACCAAATCTTTATCGAATTATTTGGAATCTCTTCCAACTCTAACAATTGCATCAAGCGTTTCACTATTCCCTATTGAACTTTTTAAATGGCATACACTTGAAGCTAAATTTGTCTATGCCTGTCGATGTCGGATCTGCGTGAACCAAGTTCTCGAAAAGACTTTCCGCTGAATTTATGGATTTTCATGTTTGGCAGTCTAGATTGATGCGATTGAACGCAGAAAGAAGTCTCAGGCATACTACTCTTCCTATTTTTAGATAAAATTCCTAAGAATAGGGACTTTGCCGACACACATGAGTCTTCCAGTTCACCACGATCGTCGTTATCGGGATCTAGAATATCTAGTTCGGAATGTAAATGTATTGCCTCATCAGTATATTTGTTTAAAATGTCTAATCGACATTCTAATTCAAATGAATTGTGGGAAATTTTCTTTTCTCAGAAAGAAGTCTTAATTCTTTCAATATTTTTTGCCTTTTTTTCATTAGATTGGCTATTTCCGTATCAGGATTACTTTGGCGTTTCTTACCACCAGCCATTTTAATATAAATCAAGAAGTTTAAATGAGATTTAAGCAACAAGAAACTTTAAACACCTTAGTATTTATTAAAGGTAGGTAATATGATAAGTTTATTATTAAATAAACTCTCGCTTTTCAATGAAAATATAGTGTCAGCTCTAAAATAGTATATTTAGACTATCTCAATTAGTTAATTTTAGTCCAGCATTTGATCACACACAAGAATTTCAATGTCCTGTAGCTCTAGGATAAAATCCCTGGACCAGGCCCGCCAGAACATCTGCTTGGGAGCGCAGAGCATCTGCCAACGCTTGGATAACCTCACCTTGTTGACTAGTAGATGCCCTGGTGTCAGAGCTTCATCGTCGTTGGGGCCTGGAGACAGCGGTGCTATGGGGCGACTGTTCAGCACCGCCTCTACTTCTGCCAGCATCGTCATCATCGCTTCTTGCGTCAGCAACACTTTGCCGACAACTCACAAAAGCAGGAACTTTGCCTGTTTTGCGGCTGCTTCCCACAGGCCAGCAAAATGAGGAGCCCTCGGAGGAATGAAGCTGTACGGCAATATACATTTTGGTTGGTGGTCTCCCGCGTATCTTCAACGTGATATCAACGGGACCACAAAAGTCTACGCCTACTATGAAGAATGGACGTAAGGCTCTCACACTATCAGTGGGTAAATTTCCCATCATTTGGGTCATCAGCTTTGGTTTAAATCGGTAGCAATTAACACAATTCCGAACAATCCTATTGCATTCATCCCGGGCATTTATTTGCCAAATTCGCTCAAGAGGCAAAGCTACTAGGGCCTTTGTACCAGCGTGACAATTTTTGAAATGTAAATCTCTCAAATATATTGAAACGATGCTTTTTTGGGCGTAAAAGGGGAAATTTCGTATTATGTGGTAATTTCGCACCTACTCTTAAAAGAGAAAATGTTCTTTTACACTAAAAGAAATTGTGCATAAATGGCGTTAATTTTTGAAGATTAGATTTTAGGCAGATTGATTTCTTTAGTTTAGAAATATGCTCTGAAAAACTGGATCTTTGAACAAACTCGACCAATTTCAGGAAAGACCAATTCAATTCTCAAGCTTTAAGACAGATACAATTTGGAATTTTTCGCTTCTTAACTCGATCAACGAATCAGAACCTATATGAGACCACTCTAAGAATCTCTTTATAAGAAGAATGATCAATTATTAATTTCAAAAGAATGCTATCAGAACATTCATTATCTGTCTTTTTACAGTGACTAAAACTTTGGATTTTCTATCGTTCCTCAGTCAACTCAAAATGTTGGTTGACTTTCCATTTAGACACATCGTTTAATAGAAATTTGGGTCCTTCGAATCATATTGAAGATTTAAGTTCTTCAACACTGCATCCTCTCGACACTATGTCGGCTGCATTTTGTTTGGTGGGCACATGGCGCCAAATACCGCTCTCTGACCACTCTTGAGTTACTGCGACTCTATTCGAGACGAAAATGGCCAGTGTTGAAGGATGGGTTTTTATCTAATACAGAAAAATTGCGGAATCGGACATGAAGTAAACATTTTCAACTGCAAAGGTCATCAAAGCTCCAATCTCGGAAGCGAGTTGTTTTGAGCGGTGCTACTTTGGATTTGGCTGTTAAAAGCCGACAAGAAACTCCACTGGGGTCAAAAGCACGAACATTAAAGCAGCAGCCATAGGCTCGCATTGAAACGTCTGAGAATCCATGAACTTGGATCCTCAAGGAAGTGGTCGTGTTCACGAATCTTAGGATTTGAATCGTATCTAACTTTGATAGATTAAATTTGAAATCTTCCCATGTGGAATTCAAATGCATAGGAATCGACTCATATCACTCTAATTTATTTATCCAAAGTTCTTGCAAAAGCATTTTGGCTTTGGTAATAATCGGGCACAAAAGACCGAGGTGATCAAATAAACGTGATGATATTGACAAAATGTGTCTTTTAGTAGCCTTCATATTTTGAAAGCCTCCCTCAATAAAAAATTTGAAAACATTATTTCTTGGAGCCCAATGAATTCCTAATGCTCTTGCAGTTTCATTTAGTAAATTTAAATCCTGCTGAACAGAGAATGGTAGTTACTTGATCTCGAATAATGAGAAGGCTATCCAAATCAGCAGCACCAGTTAGAAGATCATCCACATAAAAATCGTTGCGTATAACTTCAGCCTCAATTGGCGGAGTCTCTTTGGATAAATCACTTAAATGGCTAAGACAGTATATCGGCAAAAAAGGCGCAGGAGATGTGCCATAAGTAACTGTTTTCAATGTGAAGGTTTGTAAAGATGACTATCTTATGCTCTCCAAAGGATTAAATGAAAGTCTTTATCTTTCTCGTCAAGTAAAACTTGACAGTACATTTTGTCAATATCTGCAGTGGTCACATATTTATGTAGACGGAAACGAATTAGAGTGGAGTACAACTCTTATTGAATGGTTGGACCAACCATCAAGAGATCGTTGTGCGAAACATGGGACCAAGTCTTGCTCGAAGCATCAAAAACGACGCGAAGTTTTTTAGTTGTACTTTGCGGTCGGAAAACACATTGATGAGGAATGAAGTAATGTGGTTTATATGGAATTATATTATTTGTTATTTCCATATGTTCTAAGTCAAGATACTCTTCCATGAAGGAATTATACATTTCCTTAGATGTGTCGTCACGAGAAAGTCTCCTTTCTAATGAGAAAAATCGCCTGCTTGCAGTTTCAAATGACGTACCCAAACGTTTCACATCTTCCCTGAAAGGTAAAGACACTTTAAAGTGTCCTGACGGTAAACGTCGCACATACTTTTGGAAATGTTCCTCACACTTAGTTTGCTCATCAGACCAAATCTTTATCGAATTATTTGAAATCTCTTCCAACTCCCAGAATTTTCTAACAATTGCATCAAGCGTTTCACTATTCCCTATTGAACTTTTTAAATGGCATACACTTGAAGTTAAATTTGTCTATGTCTGTCAATGTCGGATCTGTGTGAACCAAGTTCTCGAAAAGACTTTCCGCTGAATTTATGGAGTTTCATGTTTGGCAGTGTAGATTGATGCGATTGAGCGCAGAAAGAAGTCTCAGGCATACTACTCTTCCTATTTTTAGATAAAATTCCTAAGAATAGGGACTTTGCCGACACACGTAAGTCTTCCAGTTCACCGCGATCATCGTTATCGGGATCTAGCCTATCTAGTTCGGAATGTAAATGCATTGCCTCATCAATATATTTGTTTAAAATGTCTAATCGACATTAAATTGGCTATTTCCGTATCAGGATTACTTTGGCGTTTCTTACCACCAGCCATTTTAATATAAATCAAAAAGTTTAAATGAGATTAAAGCAACAAGAAACTTTAAAGACCTTAGTATTTATTAAAGGTAGGTAATATGATAAGTTTATTATTAAATAAACTCTCGCTTTTCAATGAAAATATAGTGTCTGCTCTAAAATAATATATTTATACTGTCTCAATTAATTAATTTTAGTCCAGCAATTGATGACACACAAGAATTTCAATAATTTAGAAATTCTGTAAAATTTCGAAGTCTAAGGCATCCTTAAGTATTTGGTGTATATCGATAACCGGTAACACAATTAATCAAATTGAATAACCGGATATGGGTACTGAATTACTCATGATGTATGTGGCACTAATGAAGTTAAAATCAAAACAGTGGAAAATTGCAACAAATTAAAAGTATAAATTAAATAATTTGTGAACACGCAAAATAAAAAAAAAATTAATGGATATTTTTTGTTAATTTAACTTCTCCAGCGTAAAAGAAATTCAAAAGCGGAATAGTGTGCAATTAAAACAACAAAAACAATCGGAATGGCTGACAAGCAAAATGCAAAGCGGAATGAGAGAAGAAAAAACAAACTTAATTTGAAGGTAAGAATTAAGTTTGTGTTATGGCACGATAGCAGCAACAGAACAGATCACCACAGGTATATTATAAAAATTTTTGAAAAGAAAGCCAACTCTTCTTCTTCTTGGTAATTGCAGCAATTTAGCAAATTAGTTTTGAAGCAATTTAACAAAACAACCGACACTTTATATCCTGGGTTTCGCACCAAAATGTTCCAATTTAATTTAAGGGAAGTATCAAAACAAATACGGACACAGTTATCTTCAATTTTTTATTAATTTTTATTTAGTTTTATGGATTTTTGGTCTGGTAAGGAAGTCGAAGACGATGCGGTTAAACGGTGGCAAGTACAACAACTGAATTCAATTTTATTTTTCTTTATCCTAATTCTATTCTCTTTCTTTACAGCTAACATCGTTTAATCTTTCATACTATTTACATTCTACAATCTGCAACTATGGGAATTCATGAAGATTAACTATATTTACATTATGAAAAATTAAATAAAAAATAAAAATAAGAAACCAATAAAAAAAATTAAAAAAAATTAAATTCAAAAATAAAAGGAAAATAAAAGTATTATTACGCTCCAACAGTTGTAATTATTATAGTTTTTATGTCTATTGTTGTATCTGTTATCATTTTCTTCACTGCTTCCGGATCTATCATTGTATTTTCCCTTCTATATATCATAATCGTTTTTGTTATCGTTTCCAAAACTCTTTTCTGCACTCTGGCATCTTTAAACTGCCTCGTTTATATTGGCGCTTAAAAACGCCACTGGCCACCAGTGTATTTTTTTCTGTTTTTGCTGGCACGTAACAGAGCCAAAGCAGACATGAATAATGGGATTTCACTTATTTTCTATTATCTTAATTTTTTTCTATTATCATTAAATGTAAACAAGAAAACAAATGCTAAATAACAGCTCATAAAATATATGGTTCAACAGCTGATGTATCATGTGGTATTTTGGGATCTCTAGGTATTCGTATCGATAGCAATCGATTACACAACACAATATTAGAATAGATAAGAATAATTGTGTAGCTGCTGCTTTTTGTAGTACTTCAAGGAAATATTTTTAAATAAAAACCAGAATTGAATCCACCATCAAGCAAAGTAGTCGCGTTTCCTTTGGAGAAAGGCTGGAATCAATAGATCTTACGGTTTGCAGAAATTCAGAATGGGAAAAGTAATAGCATAATTCAGAGTCAGAAATTCTTCAAAGCAAAGTGCGTGTTCTTTTCGCGCACCCTTTCAGATTTCTTACCACCACCTTTGCACCTTTATACCCAGAAATATTTTAAAGATTCACAATTTGGTACTCTTTACTGAATTACTGGCCCTGGTGGCAGGGATGTCCATTGATGAGTTTGGTAAATCTATAGATGTGTTTCAAGCTGTGAAAATAGTAAAAAGAATCTGGTTGTTTGTAACACCTGCAGTTGTCAGTAACTGCTTTAGAAAATCCGGGTTCATAACCTCACTAGAGATTCTATTAATCATAATGCCATTGAATATCCTTTGATACGTAGATGATACCGTCTGCAACGATGGACTATAGATTTGATAGCATGGACAATGAATCCCGCAGATATATGTAGTGGTATCGGCAAGAGAAGTTGGGCACAGAAGTTGAGTCGTTTCCTGGAAGCGGTAACCTAAATAAATATTTATATTATTTTATACCCTCCACCATACTATGGAGGGTATATTAACTTTGTCATTCCATTTGTAACTCCTCGAAATACTCATGTCAGATCCAACAAAGTATATATATTCTTGATCAGCGTAAAATTCTAAGTCGATTTAGTGATGTCCGTCTGTCTGTCTGTCCGTCTGTCTGTCTGTTGTAATCACGCTATCTTTCGAATGAATTGAGATAGATGGCTAAAATTTTGCACACATGTTTATTTTTCCAGTAGGCAGGTTAAGTTCGTAAATGGGCCATGTAGGTCCACGTTTTCATATAGCCCCCATATAACGGTACCTCCCGATATTTGGTATTTTGATGATTTTAACGACATTATTCATGGGAATTGTTTCAAATTTGGTATTTGAAGTTCGTTATAGGAACTACAGTCTGTGACAGGTCTTCGTATAGGCCCCATATATCAGTACCTCCCTATATTCGGTATTTTCATGATTTTAGCGACATTATTCACCGGAATTGTTTGAAAATTGGTATTTGAAATTCGTACTGAATACTACAGTCTGTGACAGAAAATTGTCTGTGCTGGTCCAGGTCTTCGTATAGGCCCCATATATCAGTACCTCCCCATATTCGGTATTTTGACGATTTTAGGTACAATACCCACCGAAATTGTTTGAAATGTGGTATTTGAAGTTCGTAATGGATGCTACAGCCTGTGACAGAAAACTGTCTATGCTAGTCCAGGTCTTTGCACAGCTCCAATTTGACGGCACCTCCTTATATATTATATATGATTTTAGCTACATTATTTACCGTTTATTTCAAGTTTCCAATTTGAATATGGTAATAGCTTGTGACAAACAATGCCTATGTATGTCCACGTCGTATAGACCCCAATATGACGGCTATATTCGGTATTTTTAAAATTTTTACAGAATTTTTTAAGGATTTTATTTTTTAAAAATTTCCAAATTCGTTGGAAATGGTGGAGGGCCCGGCCGAACTTAGTGCTTTTTAACTTGTTTCATATATACATGTTTTACATAGTTTACACTTCATATATTTATATTAAAGTATTTCGTATTATTAATTATTCAATTTAGTTAAAAATACAGTTATTGCTCGACGTTAGAGTAAACTACGGATAAGTGCAACACAGATAAGTGCCAAGACCGCATAAGGGCATGTCATTGTATTTTTTCATATAACATCTTACAAGCCTGAAAGTAAATTTTTAGTACCTCTTTGTGTGCATAAATGTGCATCTCTAATACCTGATTTCTTGTTAACCCCACTACAAGCAGCAATAAAAGGAAATGAAATCAGCTGATATCGTTAAAAAGCACTGCAATTGGTAGAAGTGTTGGTTTTATATTTGTAAGTATTTTATTATTTTTTATTTACTTTTGATATTATAATGTTTTGTGTCTTTAACAAACAATCATGACCTCAAAAATCACACTAAGCATGAAAGAAAAGATAAACTTAATTGATGTTTTTAATAGGGGATACAGTCGGAATGCGCTTGCTGAAAAGTTTAAGATCAGTAAAAAAGGCAAAACAAAAACGAAACCAATAAAATGGTCCGTTAAATAAAATACAAATGCGCACAGATTCAACTCTATTTTATAAGTGTTTTATTGTTACAAAATTAATATATTACAAAGTAACTCAATGAAAATACAATAAAAACAACAGTAACATAAATGGATATCAATACCTCAGTTGATTCAATTTGCAAGTTTGAGTGAAATATGTATGTATGTATAGTAGGAATAAAATTGAAATTAATAAATTCATTGGAACAATAGTTGATAATTTGATGTTGGTTTTTCTCATTAAATAAAAACATTTTAAGATCCTTAAGTTTTGAGTTCGCGCCCACAAAATTTGTTCCATTGTCGCAGAAAATATCAGTTGGCAAGCCTCTTCTGCCTATCATCCTTTTCAGAGCAGCAATGAAGGCGTCTAGTGAAAAGTCCGACACAACTTCGACAGATTTGCTAGGCATACAAACACAGCAATATACGTCTTGTATGGTACCCTTCCTTTGATTCTCAAATACGTGTTTATGGGACCTCAGAAATCTACAGCACATCTGGCAAAGACTCAAGGGTTAAGTCGTTCAGCTGGTAAGTTTGATATTATTTGTTAAAGTAATTTCGGGCGATAACGTATGCAGTGTGGGCAGCGATTTACAATAGTCCGAAAAAGACTACCAAGGTTAATAATCCAAAACCGCATCCTGGCAAGCGAGACTAATGCCTTTGGGCCTGCATGATAATTTTTGATATGCAGATGTTGAATATAACATTTCACAAACTTGCTTTCTTTCGGTACTATCATTGGGTGTTTTTTGACTTTCCGAAATTTGACCAAGTTCTAAACGACCACCAACCTTTAAGATTTCAATCCCACTCGAGCAATCTATAAATGGATTAAAGCCTTTAAGAATACCCTCTGGATCTCTTTTTTTGGTTGCGCGACGTATATCGTCCTTGAAGTACTCTTGTTGAACGTGCCGAACAACTGCTAGTAACGCATATTCTAATTCTCTAGATACGATATCGGAGGGATTTAAGTGCGATGGTACGTGTCTCCAATTGCATCCATTTGTAGAATCTTGAATCTCTGATATTCTGTTGCCAACGAAAACCGATAGTGTGGAAGAATGTAGCTGAAGACAATGCAAAACTATTTGGGAGTCCGTCCACATGAACACTGAGCTATTTGGGATATGTTGAAGATTTCGAATTTTGGTATACAACCTGGATAGTAAATGAGCGCCACACAGTTCTAAAGATGGTAAAGACTTTCGTTTTGTTGGAGCGACCTTCGATTTTGCGATAAATAGCTGTACAGAAACGGCACCGGATCTGGATTTTACTCTGATATAAATACAACAACCATATGCTCTTATGGAAGAATCGCAGAAGCCATGTAATTGAATTGATTCTGGATCAGGCGACAAACAGTAACGAGGTATGTTAAGCATCGGTAATTGCTGAAGGTCATCGAGAAATCCTTGTCAGGCAGTATGAATATCTTGTGGAACAGATTCATCCCACCCTACCTTTAGTATCCAAAGTTCTTGAAGAATTATTTTATCCTTTATGATCAAGGGCGACACAAGTCCAAGTCGATCAAAAAGAGCTGATGACAAAGACAATATAGAGTTTTTGGAGACGATATCAGTTTTAAGTTTTGGGAAAAAGGAAAACAAAAATTTATCGTGTTGTTGATCCCAAGAAATTCCCAAGGCATTTGTAACAGTGGGGCCATCTAAGTTTAAATCTTTTACGGATTTATCGTGACGAAAGTTTTCGTGATTCGAATGACATTTGTCGAGTTCGAAACAACCCATTTTAAGCAGCTCTGTAACTTGATATTTAAGCTCGGCTAATCCCTCAATTGTTTCAGCGCCACCTAGAATGTCTTCTAACAGCACTGGCACCAATTTCAAAACGTTCAGAATATTCATCAGGAAAATAATGCAAAGCGCGGACTGCCAAAAAAGGTGCTGCCAAGGTTCCATAGGTAACAGTGTTCAAACAATAAGTTTTGACTCCTTCGTTGTTCGAATATTGCCACAAAATGTATTGAAACTTACGATCTTCTGAATTGATCAACACCTGCCTATACATCTTTACGATATCTGCTGTTACAACAAAGCGAT